GGCAAATATTAGCAGAATTTCATGTTCATATTCCCTATTAAATTTACTCTAGAATTAGCAATAATAATGACTACAGCAACTGCCATTTACAGGATAATATTATCTCACTTAATATGTAAAACCTCTCCCAAGAGATAGATGTTGTTGTCCATAGTATATTATTGTACAAGAAATAAAAATGAAGAAGATAGAACTCAAATTTATAATATTTTGCTTTTCAAATATATAGGAGCTGAAGAATCATCTAAAATTTTTTATTTATACTTAAATTAGTTGAAGCTCACAATTTTTTTTCTTTTTAAAGATTTGTTTATGCATACAGAACTGGGGTACAAGCTAGGGGTGTAGGGTGGTGAGAGGATTCACCAGAGATAGAGTGGGGAGCAGGACAGACAGATGGAGGAAGTACACTTAGGGGAGCAGAGGGCGGGTCAAGAGAGATCCCCCAAGCCATGTGAATCACCTCTGGGGGAGGGATCGAACTAGCACTGAAGTGGCTGTGGCCAGTTTGCAGTGCTGCATGCTAGCCCATTGTGCCACCAAGGAGGGCCCTGAACCTCATTTCTCATAGAGAACTATAGCGGTCACTCTCAAATATTTTTAGGTCATTTCATCAAAACACAGTATGAGGATAATGCATTAAAATATAATAAGGAGGCCACTTTTAACATTTCTCAGTTACATTTTAAGATTGTACAGTCCAATTAATTTTAACCTACTTGATGCCATTCTCTTTATTCTGGGTAGAGTTTCTTATTCTCTCTTCTTACAATGTTAATTGTTATTAATATATTCGACAAAGAGAGGAAATAACAGGAAGGTCAGTGGCTTTTACTCCAAGCCTGTATCTCCAAATGGCTTCGAAATTATACATTCTTGACTTGTTGGGGAGGAGGGTGTTACAACGAGGAGACAAAAACAAAACAAAAAACAATTTTACTAACACCAGAAATCAGTGTCACGGCATAGAACCGTGCTTATAACTAAAGGGTTGACCAAGCTTGTTGCATGAGATTTAGCTACAGAAAAGACAAGAAGCAGCTTCTGCAAGCCTGAACAAAGGGTAACATTGTGAAATTTCAGTGGCATGATATACAGGCTTCAAATAAGAGTTCTGGTCAGTGCGACATAAAGGAAGTGCTTCATTAGCTATCATAGTGCATACCTCTCAGGCTTGTACCACGGGGCAGCACTCAGCAAGGGCATGGGCACAAAGAATGAGCTATTCACTCAGGTTTCATAATCTTGCTCTGTTTCAGCCTTCTTGGTTGACAACTTTCAAGTTGAGCATGGAAGGCTCTAAAGAAACAGTCTTACATTCTCCAGTGATAGTTTGTTTTGGGAAATGCCTATCTAAAATAAGGAGATAAAATAAGTTGGGCCTGTGAGCTCACTTTTTCACATGAGATGTCTTTCCAGAGCAGTGATAGTTTTATGAATACTATGAGCACTTTAAAAAAGTAGTTCTACATAAAGATTAGTCTCACATGAAATTATTTGCAATTTCTATGTCATTCAACCCTATGCAATCATATGAATATTCATTTTACAGTGAAAGCTTACTTTGTAAGTAGAAAAATTACAGTAGAATGCTTTGCAAAGATATTGGGTAGAAGAAAAATAATTCTATGTAGTAGTATTTTTCAGGAAAACCACTGTGAATTCCTCTCTTTTTAACTAGTGCCACAGACCCCCTGTTCTTCAAGGAAAACACAGAATTATGTAACTCAACTACAGCTTAATGGTACCATTTCTGAATTCATTTCACACAATGCTTTCTGCTCTGAAGAGAAATACATTACATTTAAGTCCTGAATTATATTCATTTTCTAGATGCCAAGGTTAGTCTTAAAAAGTATTATGGAAGGCTCAGAGACCTAACTACACAAAATACCATAAATGCTAAGGACAGTTTTGAATTTTAACTACAATGAAAAAAAAATAAGACTAGAAAACATATATAATATTTTAACAGGGAGTTTTATAGACAGAATAGCAAAGATATTTAACATTACTTGATGCAAAGAATGTCAGCATGTCAGCATTGATGCCTTAAGTATACTGGACATAATTATTTCTAAAATGACAGTAATTTTTACCCTTCGTTGGTAGTTTACAAGATACTTAGAAGAATGGGAAATCATTTCTTACCTCCAAAAATCACTAAACAGCACTAAGAAGCTAAAGCCACTTCAGCATGAGTTTGATCCCCACCTCGGAGTGACCACTGGCATGGCAGACCTCTCCTGACCTGCCCGCTGCTCTCCTCGGTAGTTTACTTTGTCAGTTGGCCTGTTCTGCTCCCCACTCTGTCTCTGGTGAATGCTCTCACCACCCCTGTACCTCTGGCCTGTACCCCAATTCTATATGCATAAATAAATGAATCTTTAAAAAACCACTAAAAGTCCTGAAGTATAACAATCAAAATATTCTAAGAAAGCTGCATAAAATTATACTTTAAAATTTTGCTTTACAATAAGAACAATAGTTTCTTATTGAAAACACTAGGTGTGAACAATAGCTCTTTATACTGACCAAATTTGCCTTTCTCTTTTCAAGGAAGGGTAAGTGAGAGAGAAAGGAAATCACACTGGAAGACTAATTAATCTTGACCACCTCTTTCTGGGATAAAGTCTTAAAGCTGTAAAGCATGTTTACTTGTTGAGGAAAAGCTGAAACAAGAGTTTTTACCCAACTCCATTTAGAACCATGAGGGAAGAAATAAGTAACTATAGGACAATAAACGAGTGTCATAGCATGGTTAGGACAGTGACCCACATTTGTCTCTCTTCTATCCCTTTCCATCTTTTCCCCAAGGAGTCTTCAGCAACAGTATGCTTGATAAGGAGCCCCAATATTTTCAACAGCCCCTAAAATATGTCAGGATGTCATATGCTTGAGGTTTCTAGAGTAAATGCTTGCCAGAGGAAGGCTGACTGAGATCAAAGTGGCAAGGGACCTAGGATATGCTGTGAGTGCCTGCACACACACACACACACACACACTACTTCCTAGCATGCTTTTAAGGGTCAGACTCCAGGAAGGAGCCAAAATACCAAAGGGCAAGGTAGCCAGAGAGCTATTGACAGACTAAACTAGCCTTAGATGCTGTCAGGTCCTGAAAGGAAGCAAAACATGGTAGACTTGGTGGAAAATATCTCATACCCAAGAACTACCTGAGCTATAGAGTGGAAACCAGCAAAAGGAACAAGACAGAGTTAAGGCCTCCTGTAAGTCCCCGAGACAATAAAGCATTTAGCTTTACAGAGACACAGTTTTGGGCAGTTAAGAGGGGGAAGGAAGTAACAAGCTGGATTAGAGAGTGACATTTAACATTACTAGTATATGCCAAAATGACAGACTTGTATAAGAATTTCTAAGACAATTGTTATAAGGCTTTCTATACTTAGCACTTCTAAGAAAAATTCCGACAGTAGCATCATTATATATTTGAGTATTGATTGCACAGATTTTTGTTTTTGTTCATTTTAGTTTTGCAAAAGAAGAAAAAAAGCTCTTCTAAAGTTCATAGTTATTTGCAGAATAAAAAATAAGTCACTATGTAACAAAGTTCTCTGATATTCTATATCTTATAATATCTCTATGTGATATAAATTTTTTGTCTATATTTTAGATATAGAGTGGTCTGGATTTTCTTTTCAAACACACATTGTGGACAGTTGTCATATAGAAGGAAGATAGTAGGTGCTATCTTTACTTCATGTATAGAAAATATTACAGGAATGTGAATTTTAAACAAAATCATCTTTAAACTGATAGAGTAGGACAGAAAAGAGTATATAGTTTATTCAAAAGTTAATAGTTTCATGAACTCTTCATAAATCTGACTTGATGATTGTGCTATTAGTTATTGTATTTCCTTAGATAACACATTTATTACAGTATTAAAAAGCTTAACAGGTCATGATGGTTATTACAAAGATAGTGGAAAGTTATAGGATAGCCCCTTAGATTGATGTGATTCTAATATAAAGTTATTTCTAATACTTAGAGATTTATAACACTATTTAAAAAATTCAAAGTTAGATTTCTCTAAATAAGTAACATATTAGATTATATGAATATACTCAGTTTTTTTGGGGGGTGGAATGTGTCTTACAATGAAATGTGTATAAATATGAATATGTAAATATCCGAGGAGTTTGAAATTAAAATTAAAAATTAAAATCTTCGGACTTTGAGATGCTGGAAATTATATGGAATTTTCTACAAATTATGCTAATTCTTTACTAATAATATATGACAGAATTATACCAAATATACTTATGTGTTTTATTATATGTTATGTATTACCCCAAAGTATAATTTGGGTTGAAATAATGAAGTTGGAATTGATCTTCAATATGAAACAGACATATTTGAGAGATAATTTTTGAACATTTCAGACTCTTGACTCTTTACCAAAGTGAACATTTTTGAAATAACACTCATTATATCTGGCTCAAAAACAACATAACACACACACTGAGCAAGGGATTCTTCTCGTAAAATTATCACAAATATTTATTAAGCCTTGGACTCAGTTGTCATTAAGATCTTGAAAAATCTGTCCCCGCAATTAACATTTTAGTTTCTGGTGCTGTTAATAAAACCACCATTTTTTTTTAAGGCTTGTTATAGAGTAACAGCTAACTTAGGGGATTCTAAAGAAAAATATTGGAGTTCCTTGAACTGGTAGTGGGTATTCCAAAAATCCACTAGACCCATGTGAGGTTATTGAATACATTTCTGCAACATTCTATGTGTCAGCTACCTTCTGAGTGCTGGGCAACATTGGTTGATAGGTTTTCTGCTTTCTTGGAGTTTTAATTTCGGGGTTGGGGATGGTGATGTGAGACACATAATCAGATTCTCATACAAACGCATAGTTCCTAACCATGAATTAAAGCAAGCAAAGTTAAGTGTTTGGGGGAAGCCCTTCCGGAGGAAATGGGATTCGGAGGAGGAGCAGTAATTAATCCTACAAAGAGAAAGCAAGGCCAGCCAGAAGGGGAACCGTCCTTCACTTAAAACCTGAGGGCTGTGATTTGGGAAAAGTACCGGATCTTCGGAATGCTACAGCAAACAGAGTTACACAGATGAAGCTGGAAAAATAGGTAGGAGCCTCGTCAAGAAGGTGCCGTCAGTATTCAGAAATTCTGGTTTCAGTGTTGTCATTTCTATCCATGCTTGGTTTACAAGTAGGTGATCGCCCGGCATAAGATTGGCAGACTCCTTTTGTGCCCGTGCTTTTTGGCAAACTTGGGGGTTTCTCGAGTTTGGATCGTTTGGGCGGGGCATAATTCTCCGATTTGTCGGAGACCGCTGACTCACACACGTTTATGTGTTTGATTTTGCAAGTGCCTTCCTTCGTTCAAGGAATCGCTTATACAGTTTATACTTCAAACAGCACAAAGGTGGGTCAGTTTAACAATCCGAGAGGGCGGGGCCGAGAACCTCAGCGTTGGCGCGGTCGGCGGGCAGAGGGGGAGGGAAGAACGCCTCGCCTGCGACTCACTGCGCATGTCCCGCCCGCGTTGCTAAGGCAGCGGGAAAAGCGTCACCAGGAAGTGGAGCTCTGCTTAACTATTGGCACCAAGATCCGTGGCCTATGGACTCAGGGCTGATTAGATCCCGAGGCAGACTAGAGCAAAGCAGATGAGAAGAAGCCAAATCTGATGCACTGTAATGACCATCTGCCCAGAGGCTCAGAGAGTCTAAAAAACACAGAAAGTTGGGTTCAAATGGACATCAGTGATACAACAGACTTTTCTGTTAATGATACCTGCACGTCCTTTACTGATGAAGTACAGAATTCCAGTACTTTTAGCTCCCCTGGAGAACTGCATTCCTGGCTTCATGCCTCTGGGCACAAACTTGAGAATGAACGCCCAAATATATGCTTGGAACAAGAAGGCAAGCAGTCTGAAGTTTCAGACTTGAACAATTATGAAAAGAAGTTGAGTAGAAAATGGATCAGTTGCCTCAAGGACAAACTGGCTCACTCTGGACAACACCATTCAGACAGTAGGCTTCAAACAGAAATCACTGGGGTATCTGATGAAGAGCTGAATGCCCTGCAGTCTTTTTGCATCAACAAAATAAACCTGATGCATCATAGAGTGAATTCTAAGAAAAGCAGACATAAAAAATTGCAGCTTCGATTAGAGAAAGAAACTCCAAAGATAGATGTGTTAAACTGCATTGTCCCAGATGATCTTTTGAACAGAATCTATTTAAAAAGCTTGATGACAACATTAGAACAGGTGGCAACAGCTAAACAACACGTTATTTCACAGTGTCCTGACTGCAGCAGAAAAAGAGCAGAACTGGCTCAGTGTGCTTTTCTAAAGCAAAAAAAGACTTTACTGGAATCACTTCTACTCCAAGAGAAAATAGATGAACATCTTCATACTAAAGACTTTCTTACCCTTATTGGAGAAGCACATCAAGATCTTCCCAGACTTTCAGATGACCCAGGAGTAATCTGGAGAAGACTTACTGAGAAAAGTGCGATTGGATACTCTAATTTTAAAAAGCCATACAGTGCTGATGAAGTAGGATGGAAATAGGACTTGTTAGTCACTGTTTTATCTATCACTTCTCAAATAACTTACTCTAACCCCACTGGGGATGGTGTTTATTAATGATAATGTATACTGTAGTTAGATGTTTCTATTGTGCATTTGAATAATTATCATTTCTCCTGGTACTTTGGAAACTAATTAAGACTTTGTTTCATTTATAGATTTGGAAGACTACAAACTTTGTTTCCAATGCCTAGTTCAGATAGAAGGCAGCATTATTAGTGTAATAGTTACAAAGCTTTTTAACAATCTAGAAGAGCCATGTTGGTAGTTTGGACTAGAATTTTCATGGTGCAGAGATGTAAGAGATACTTAAGAATTAATAATTGACAGGCTCAGGGAAGAAGTGGATATAAGGATATAAAAAGGAAATATTAATAATGTAATTAAGTTTCTTATACACTGAATGAATGATGAGTTTATTAATGTTGGAACATTGGGAAAAGATAATGTTTGAATGGAGTGATTAGCAATGTTATTATTTGGGCATAGTTTTAGATACATTTGAGCTAAGCATCCTGAGATGTTGAGGAAACATTTGTTTTTTTTTGTTTGTTTGTTTGTTTGTTTTTTGTGGTTGCTCTCTGGAGAAAAGTTAGGGTCCAGAGATTTGAAATAAAGGGTGAGCATTGGAAGGGAAATTGTAATCATAGAGGTGAGCTCTTCTGAATGACATTAAAGTGTTGAGAGAAGGGTTATGACCAACTCCTAGGAAATTCAACAACTACTGGTTAGGTAGAGGGAAATATGCAAGGAAAGGAGGTTAGGAAGAAATAAAACAGGATAAAGGAAACTGAGAATGGTTGTGTTATAGAGAAAGACTATTTGTGTTGTCTAAGTTTGCCAATGCAACAAAAAGTTTACATTTAATCATTATGCTCTGTTGTGTTCTGTTGACCTTAGCAACATCTTCTACACTTACAGCAATTAGGAATAAATGTGGTAAGGAAATGAAGAATTTACAGATTATTCATAAAGATTATATGAATCTTTTGTGTTTGTCACATTTTGTCTTCTAATGAGAAAATCATGCCTTGAAGAAGAGCATGGTATTTTGAAAATACAACTTTGTCAAAACGTAAATGACATTCTGAGAAATCATAATTGTTATTTATTTTCTCTGTAAAAATATAAGCCCAAACTTAGTAAAGATACCTTGAGGTCATTTCTCTACATAATGACCCCAAATCATTGCCAACAGTTATTCACCTTAATATATATATATATATATATATATATATATATATATATATATATATATATATATATATATATATATAATATATAATATATATTACAACCACTTTAGTAGGTGTGACATGGTATTTCATTTTGCTTTTGGTTTGCATTTTCTTAATGACTAATGATGTTAGTGCCACTTGTGCTTTTAGCATTTGCATATCACTTTAGAGAAATAGCTATTCAAGTCCTTTAACTTAATGTCTTAAATTGGGTGCTTATCTATTTTGTTGAGTTATAGTAGTTATTTTTATATTTTGGATATAAAACCTTTATATGAATTGCAATATTTTCTCCCATTCTAAGGGTAATCTTTTTCTTCTGTTGATTAACTATTCTGGCACACACACAAAATAATCCTTACCAGGTTTAAGGTCTTGCAAATATGTTCCTCTTTTCAGATTTATATACTCTTTCATTTTATGTTTGGATGTTTGGATCTTCAAACCAATTTGAGCTTTGAGCTTTTTTTTTTTTCATTGTGAGAGATAAGATTTAATTTTTTTTTTGCATGTGGATATCCAATTTCCCTAGCATCTTTGTTGAAAAGACTATTATTGAAAGGTCTTATTACCCTTCTTGAAAGTCAGTTCACCATACATAGGATTATATAATTAATATAAAAACTTTGGGCTCATTAAATTCCATTGATCTGTACTAATATCTTTTCACCAGTACTACACCATTTTGTTGTACTTTGTTGCTCGTTTTGAAATCAGTATGTATGAAATCTCAATTTCTTTTCCAAGATTTTTTTGGCTGCTCAGGATCCCTTAAGACTGCTAAAAATTTTTAGGATGTAATTTTCTTTTCTGCAAAAAAACACCATTGGGATTTCAAATAAGAATCAGATTGAATCTGTATATTTCTAAGAGTACTATTGTCATCTTAACAATATAAAGCCTTTGTGTCCATTCATAGGGCTTTTTTTTTTAAATTTAGTTCTTATTTAATTTTAGCAATGTTTTATAGCTTTCATTGTACAAGTTATATGCCTCCTTTATTGAATTTATTCCTAAGCACTTTGTTCTTTTGTTTTCTCCAAATTCATTTTTGGGATGTTCATTGCTAATGCATAGAAATAAAACTCAATTTTGTGGCTTGATTTTGTCTCCTGAAACTGCTGAATTTATTTAGCTCTAATATGTTTTACATATATTCTTTAAGGATTTTTAAGAGTAAGATTATGCCATGTACAAATATAATTTTACTACTTCTTTCTAATTGGGATACCTTATTTTTCTTTCCTAATTGATCTGGCTCAAACTTCCACTCCCATAATGATTGAAAGTGGCAAGAGTGGGCACTCACCTTGTTTCTGGTCTTAACAGAACAGCTTTCAGTCTTTCATTATTGGGTAAAACAGTTGTGAGACTTTTATGTATGTCCCCTTTCAATGTTGAGGAAGTTTCCATCAATTCTTAGTTTATTGAATTTTTGTTAAGGTTAATTAATTTTTGCATACAGAACTAGGGTACAGGCCAGAGGTGTGGGAGATGAGAGGATTCACTAGAGACAGAGTGGGAAGCAGAACAAGCAGATTGACAAAGTACACTGCTGAGGGGGGCAGCGGGCAAGTGGTGAGAGGTCTGCCATGCCATGTGGGTCACCTCCCTGGTCAGGGATCAAACTTGTGCTGCAGTGGCTGTAGCCAGCTCCATAGTGCTTTAACCTGTTGCACCACGAGGGAGGGCCCAGTTTATTGAATGCATTTATCATAAAAATGTATTGATTTTGTCAAAGATACTTCTCTGCATCTGTTGAAATGATCATACTTTGTCTCCTTTGCACTCAGTCCTTAACCCTTATTTACTGACTAATCAGAATTAAAGGCTGTAACCTCTGTGTTCTTAAACATTGTATACATTCATATTATAACACATTATCTTAATTAGTACACTTTTATTTCTTACTAGCTTATGAGCTGCATGAGGATAGAGACTCTCTTCTATCATGTCCTGGTGTTAACAAAGGATGGTGGTTAACAAAAATTTTGAGTGAAGAAATAGATATACTTAAATGATGACCTTTACTGTTTTTTTCTCCTAACATCCACCATATCTTTTTCTGTCAATGGTTTGCCTTTGAGAAACTGTTTTCTATTTACTCCCTGTGAATTGAATTCCCTTTTATCATGCACATACAGACATGCTTTTGTTCTCAGTGGCAATTAGCACAAAGCTTTGGGATAAGATATGCTTTCAGAAAATATGCAACTAATTAATATACTTTTTATTTTAAATAATATAAAAATATTTTTTCACACAGAATATTTATCTGGATTAATAATTTTAAAGAGAATTCATGACTTTCTGCAACTTTAAAATGAGATAAAACGTTTTGAAGCTCAAACTCAAAATTAATTTTTATTGCCTTTGAATATATCCAACAGGGATGAATAGCCTTTCTCCAAACTCTTTATAGCTGCACCCAACTGTGCTAATTTCAGTGAAATTGTAAAGTCTACCAGATCAGATGCTAAGAAACCACATATTTCCCCAGTACAAAAAAAAAAAAAACAAACATATTTGGCACCTTGGTACAGGATTATACAAATATGTAATTATAATAATTACATATACAAATTGTATAAAGTGCATATATTTAGTTTATTTTTTCTCATCTAGTTTTTATCACAACAAAAATTTCTGTATCAGGAAACAAATCTGTGCATTTAATAAAACACTATATAATGAAATCCTAAAGATGGAAGTAAGTGATATTCCAGATTAAAAGAAAGGAAAGTTCAGTCCTGAACATCTGAGTCACTCACATTCCAATCTCAGAATTATTTAGGAATGTTTGGGGCACCCAATTCAGAATGCCTCCAGTTTTAAACATGTTTATTTCATGATGAAGCCTAATATAGTAACTTAGTTGTTTCTGTAGCAACATTAACTAAACAGGTTTCAAAGAAATAAGTTTTTTTGTTTGTTTTTGCAGCACATGAGAATGGTTCTCTCCTAATTTTGTCTGAAATTAACAGATAAAATGTACATATACACATACATAGTTAGCTTGCAAAACAGAAAAGAAAGAAAAAACAAACTTCTAGTTGATAATACCCTTTGGAAAGAAGATTAAGATTTTTAACAATTTTCTGTACACTCAAGTAACAGTGAAGTTTGCAAAATTCTGTCAGGGTGGTTCAGATAATCACAAGGCCCACTTTTGATGAATATATTGTTTGTTGAGCTATTAATTGAGGTTTAAGAGTGAATATACTGTGATCATCCCACTCAAGATTGACTTTGGATTTCAAAACTGATGATCTCACAAAATGCCTGAGAGGGAATGGAAAGGCTTATAATGAGGGCTTCTGGGGACATTGGGTAGGCTTCTGAGTAGGTTGAAAAATGAGTCAAGATAGAGGAAACAAAGACTAGCAAGCTTAGTGATTAGGGAGTGGAGCTGAGGTAAAGATCCCACAAGTGGGCTTGAGCTTGCATGGTTTCAACTTCCTGCTAGAACCAAAGGAGGAGATTCATCTGGGCCCTCATCAGCCATCCCAAATGTGGGGTAGGACTTGAAAGTTTTTGACTGTCAACTGTTAAAATGTGTTCAGAATATTACATTTCATCTCTGATGTCTGACTGGTAATGGAAATAAGACATATGTAATTTAATTAATTTTAACTTGCTTAATTTAAGTATGCCACAGCAGTGTTTCTAGGCCTGTAGCCTGACATGGGTCAGGTTGGTGAAAGTTCCAAATAACATCTTTTTCAAGAGACCACCATTGTGTAT